AATGACCATTTAAAATTAATTGATGTCTTGGAAAATATACAGATGCAGAAATAAGGAAAAAAAACCCAAAACCCCAACCCAAAGGTTCACTGTTTCCACACTCTGTCTACACGTGAGATTTTCCACTATGTGACTGAAATATGCCACCCAAATCTTTATAGAATTGCACTCAGAATCATCCACCTACAAAAAAAGTATCTAATATCATCTGGGATACTTTACAGTTTCTTTTACCCCTCCATAACTTCGTCTGTGCCATATTTGCCAGCGCAATGTGGATGACTCAGATACTTTTGGGCATCTCACATGGTATTAGACACTTATGTGGGGGCAATTAAACTGAATGCTAATCCATTTAATTGAAATATCTCACCTTGGAACAATATTTCTTCCTGGAGACCACTAAAGGCAGCCCTCCTCAGTGACTTTTTGTTAGCGACATCAGAAACAGTTTAGTAAAAATACCGGACTTAACACACCCACCTAGCCTTCCAAGTGAACATGAACTTGCTTCACAGACCTAATTCTGAGAAGTACTAGACTTCTGCATGGAAGGATTTTTTTTAGTAGTAGTGGTAGTAGTAGTAGTAGTAGTAGTAGTAGTAGTAGTAATTTTTATGCCTTTTTAAGCATCATGTGATCATTGGATCTGGGAAAATATGGGGTTACAGAAGTTTAAGTTGCTTATACCTCAACTTTGACTACTTTTGCAGTCCTTAGAGGGTGATAGTTTTGGCAGCTCCACAGATTCCCCAAGGTGAAGCTGTGGATAGCCAGTGATTTGAGGTTGTATTCATAGAATCATAGAATCATAGAATAGATTGGGTTGGAAAAGACCTCCAAGATCATCGAGTCCAACCCCTGATCCAACTCCAATTACTATATCATGGCACTAAGGGCCACATCCAATCTCTGCTTAAAAACCTCCAGGGATGGTGAATCCACCACCTCTCTGGGCAGGCCGTTCCAATGCCTGATTACCCCCTCTGTAAAGAATTTCTTCCTAACATCTAACCTAAACCTCCCCTGGCAGAGCTTGAGCCCATGTCCTCTTGTCCTATTGTTGGTTGCCTGGGAGAAGAGACCAACCCCCACCTGGCTATAACCTCCCTTCAGGTAGTTGAAGAGAGTGATGAGGTCACCTCTAAGCCTTCTCTTCTCCAGACTAAACAACCCCAGCTCCCTCAGCCTCTCCTCATAGGACTTGTGCTCAAGTCCCTTCACCAGCCTGGTTCCTCTTCTCTGGACCCGCTCCAGCACTTCAATATCCTTCCTGAACTGAGGGCCCCTTCCACAACATTTCTCACCTGTGCTAGTATTTTTCTTTATGGTTTAGTTTTCAACAGCTGCAGTCCTACAAGTGGAAATCAAACTTTTGCTGATTTAATGATTTTGAGCAGTCTCTCAGTCCATCAGTGTACATCCTCAATGTACTACAATGCAGAACTATAAGTGAATTTGGAATGAAATGCAAGGTTTTACCAACTTGAGCAGCTTTACACTGGATTTAGAGTAACGTTAAAGAACAATTATTCTGCTGAATATTTTATAGATTTTCATTTAATTTAGAAGAGATACATTGCACAGATAACCTATTTTCAAGCAGAAATATTTCTGAAGTTACTTTCAGATACTGAGATTCTGAGTTGGCAGTGAGTCTGCATTACCTAGTATATGTACATTTTCTTGGTACAGTTAATTCAAACAATTTCCTAGAACTTGATATTCTAGGAATTTCAATTACGTAACTAGTTACTGACTTCAAAGATATATTTGAGTTACTCTTTTTCAATATTGAGATTTAAAATACTACTTTGGAATAAATAAGATCTTTTCTTATGGTGAATCTAAAAAGTCAAGTCCTTATTTTACAAAAAGGAATATAAGAAATGACTGCTTTCAAATAGGATTTCAATTTACGAGCCAGTAGATTGGTTTAAAATTATTTCCCCAAAATCTAATTACTTCTGTTGGGGATACAATATAGTACTCCTGGGAATGTGTTCGTGAAAGTAAAAACAAATCTGATTCTCTAATATTCTTTTTACATTTCTGAGATACTGTTATTCTACAATGATACACATCACACAATATATTATATTTTTATAAATATTATACTCACTACACTGGACAGAGCTAACTTTGAATCAAACTTCTACCAAGGTTGGAAACATGCTCTGTGAGCATACTACACAAAATTTTCAAACAGGAGTGGTAAATATTGCATTTGATATTTTATTCTCTCAACTGTGTATACCCTTTGGACTAGAAAAACACCTGGAGACAATAAGACACATTCATAAATATGAACATTTATGGGAAATCTAGATGCCAACAGTGGGATCATCATAAACTTTGCATGACTAAGAACACAGTTTTTCAAATTTGGAGTGATCTGTGAATAGTTGGAAGCTATCTATTAAAAATGTTTAAATTTGAGAAAGTTTACATTTCTTTTTCCAGTGTGTAGATCTTTAAAAGACTGAAGACATATCAAAGTCTTACTTTGGAAAAGAAAAAAAAAAAAAACTTTTTTTTTTAGGTCACACACATCCACTTTGCATGTACTGGTTGCCAGTACCCACTCCTTTCATCAGAAAAATTTGTGTGGGAAAATATGCCTAAGGGTAGAAAACCTCTCAAATATAAAAAGAAAATAGGAGTGAGGAGAGGAGAGGAGAAATGCAAGAAAGGAGCATTGTACAAAGAGAAAATGTGCAGTCGGATTGTGAGCAAATAAATCTAAACACAGGTGTATGTATGGGAGATGCTAAAGGCAAAAAAGTGCAGCATGTCCTGTTCTAGGCTGTAAATTTGATCTAGGTAAACAGTTTTATTCTTGGTTTTGTACCATCAAATTCCATACACGCACACAGTCAAATGAGTCTGAGTTCCCACAATATTACAGGATTATTCATGTAATCTAATATTGCTACTGATAACAGTTACAAAAGCTTTTTTAAAGCCTTTGCAGAAATGCCTTCTCTATTTATTCCTCATGAAATACCAAAGGTAAAGTCATAGATAACAGGTCATATTTTGTTTTGCCCAGTTCACTTTGAGCACAGTAATAAGGAAAGTCTTCCAGAATGTGAATTCTGCTGTGGAAAAACTGTATTACATTCACAATCACAATGCATGGTATTTCTAGTGTTTGCTCATGAACACCAAGGTCGGAGCCACTTGTATAACTTCAAATTCATTTGTGAGTTATTTTTATTGAAGTAGCTGAAAAATGTTTAAGTCATTGACAAGTATATTTAGGGAAATTTATTTGGGTCCTCTAAATATATAAAAATTATCTGAATAATATATAGAGCTTTCTAGATATATTTTAACATAAGTAATTTTAAAATAATGGTCAATTGGTGGCAGTTTTCTGTAAAAGAGAATGTTACTCAAAGAAAAGATCCTTTGTCTATGCCAAAATCATTCCCTTACATCAATGAATTTTAGCTTAACAGAGTAAAATTAGGAGACACGTAACTCCCTGAAAGCATCCTAAAATTGCTGTAATAATTTGACCAGTTTCAAATGAATAAAAGTCTGTTCTATATGTAAAAGGATTTTTTTAAAATTTATTTTTACTTATAAACAATATTGGTATTTTGATTGCAAGAACATGAACAAAAGTATGTATTGAACAGTTGTAATTAAAGCCAAAGCAACAATATTCTTACCTTCAGATCTTTTTGTTGCCTTATTTGTGACTGATTTAAATGCAAAACCTTTCAACAAAATTGAATCACATAATGCCAATAAGGAAAGTGCTAGCTAGTAAATGACATTTTTCTATGTAGATATTTCCCAATAGGGATTATATTCCTAGCATCCACCATTGTCAGTAACTAAAACCTGTAAATGTAAAAAATAACTAAAAGGAAAGGTCCAAAACTGCAAGGTAATCAACAGTTCCAGAAAGAACAGGGGATCGCAAAGTTAGTAATCATTTTGCAAAATGGATTTTTTAACTACGATATCTGTAGAAACGGACCAAAAGTGTCATGTAAAAAATTTTACCTATTTTTCTTGATTAGTTTTTCTATTGATTCCTACTTGAATCATATTCCCTATTTATATAGCCTCAAACATTGTCTAGACAATTATTCTTGAAGATTAACTATCAAGCATTTTGAAAGGAATTAAATCAGAAATATTAATTAATTTGAAAAACAGAGACATAATGTGCTATGGTATTTTTCTTGATTTTGTTTAGTTAAATAAGCAATTAAAGCCTGGAAAAAATGTAATTTCTTCCATGATTTTTTTAGTAGTTTTATTAATAAATATTAAAAGCACTGCCACCCTTATAAGAATTTCCTCTTCTGGGGAAGACACTTACTTTGCTTTTTAGGTATTACTTCTGTAAGCACTTCAAGAAGCAAATTTCGTCATAGACTTGCCAAGCTGATGAAAGAATTTTAAACTGAAGTTTCCAGGGTGCAGGGGGCAAAATCTCTATCTATTCCACTACTTTTAGTTCAATGACAGAAGCAGCAAGAGAGACTTAGAGCCTGGAGAGGGATCTTGTGAGGTTTAAGAGGTGGGCCCATATGAACTTCATGAAGTTCAGCGAGGCCAAGTGCAAAGTCCTGTAGCTGGGCTGGAGCAATCTCAAGCACAAATACAGGCTGGGTAGAGAATGGATTGAAATCAGCTCTAAGGAGAAGAATTTGTGGGTGTTACTGGATGAGAAACTCAACACGTGAGGGTTGTCAGGCACTGGAACAGGTTGCCTAGAGAAGTTGTGGATGCCCTATACTTGGATATGTTCAAGGCCAGGCTGGATGGGACTTTGAGCAACATGTCCTAGTAAAAGGTGTCCCTGCCTATGACAGAGGGGTTGGAACTAGACAATTCTAAGGTCCCTTGTGTGAGCGACTGCAGAAAATGATTACTGGCTCAAAACAACTAAAGTTGGGGGGGAAGGGGAGCAGGGAAAGTTTGTCCAAGGTGGGACAGTGCACTGCTCCACACCCCACCACCTATAACAGCTAATAAAGCTGTTTGATGCTCTTGAAATAAAAAAGTTGGAAAGATAGAGAAAAAGCTAACATTTGAGAACATACTTGAGACCATTAAACAACAAAATTTAAAAACCGCATTTTGAGGAATTCAGTTATTCATTTCCCTGAAACTAATATTTTTTGCAGTTCTGATTCCACTCCGATTTTAATACTTTGAAATCAATTTTCAAGTATGATTTCAAAATTATGTGAGATAAAAGAAAACATGCTAAATCATTAACAATGACATTATCTGTTTCATGAAAAGACAACAGCATTTCCTGTAAATGTAATATTGTTTAACACAATTCAGTGTGCCAGAACTGATTTTAACTCTTATAAATAAAAAATAGGTCTTAATGAATCCCAGAAACCAAGACTACAATTATAGACTACTTCAAATTAAATGCATTCCCTGTGAAAACAAAGGTAAAATTATTATTATTTTTAATAACAGTAAACATAATAGTAAAAAAAAAAAATTTCTACAAATTCTCTCTAGAAAAACTCCAGAGCATACTGATGCAGTTTTATAAAAAGAATATGAAAGCCAATTTTGGCTCTTATTGTGGCTGGATTTTACATAATCAAATTAAAACAAATAATAATTTTATTCTTTCAGCATTAGAGAAGTGGAAAAGCCTGAAAAATTTCACATGAGAATCATGTTCCATTTTGGCAAAATAAAGGCAAATTGAAAAAGAATAAAAGGCAACTGAGAATCAAAAATAAAAGAGAAGATAAATTGAGGATAAGAATGAATAAGGCACAGAAAACAAATCTGCCACAGAATACAAATAATAGAGATAATCCAATTTTGAAGATCAATATGTAGGTAGAATAATCATATTTCTATTGCATATGAATATAATGTAATCAAAAGAAAGTTCTGGGAATAAAATTAAAATTCAGTTTTTAAGTTCATTACGTATCCATGTAGGAGAATCAAATGCCAATGTCTATACTTAATATTACAATTATAATGCTAGAATCCTCTTCATTTGGTCTTAGAAGCTTATGTTTATGTGAGACAAAATCTTTAGAGAGGTAACATCTTTCATTCAGCAACTTCTTGTGGTTGGAGACGTGCTTGTCTGTGGAAGACTAATTGTGATTCAAAAGCCAACTAGCTGTAGAAAACTAATACTGAAGATTTTTTGTTTCATTTCAAATTAGTACAGAGAGGTATTTAAAAGATTTAATACGATATACTTAGGCTTCAGAACTGAAGTTCAGTTTGCATCAGTAAACAAAGATTTCCATGCATGCTGATGCTGTTAGATAGAAAGACATATCTTCAAATAAAAGGGTCCAAGCTGGAAGCTGTATATTTTTCATCTCAAATGGCTTCAAAGGTTTCCATTGGAAAACTGGTTTCAGTGCAACCAGAATTACTTCTCAAAATTGCTAGTGACAGAGGATTATCAGGTTTCTGCTTTTGGACCATGAAATGTTTCCTAAAGAATCAGCAGGGCTTAAAAGAAGTTTACTTGGTAGAATCGTTCCCAGAAACTGTGCCTCCCTGAGTAGTAGAATTTCATATTCCATTACTGGCCTTAGGTTCTAGCTGATCCAGCTGAGCAGACAGAAAGCATCTGTGTTAAATCTACTCCCAAAGCAAAAGCGCAAAGTATCATTACTGGCAGAAATTATCCACCCTAAAGGGAAGCACAGATGATACTGGTATATTTACCATATGAACTTTATTAGATCAAATGGCATATTTTTCCTTATTTCACTTGCATTTATTCTGAATTGCCTACTTGGAGTTATTCTGTCATTTATTCTCAGTCATAAGTGGAAAGTGGTAAATTGCCAGCTCTAATTAGGCAAAACCGTGTATTTACGAGCATTAGAAAGAAATAAAATGTAGGATTTTTCTCCCTCTTGAAATGTTTGAAGAGGTTCTATAGACTGTTCTGGTCAAGGTTCATCTGTTACATGATGCAGTGAAAGACATTATCAATTTTCCAGCTTTTCATGAGCTTCCAACATGCAGTAGAACGTATTAAACAAAGAGATTAGAGCCCACATGCTTAAATTGAATATAAGATTAAGAAAGAATTAGGAAACTGTTTTTTTGACTCAAATATTTGCAACAAAGCCCCAGTGCAGCCATGGGATTGCTTTACATATTATTTGATTAAACACATAGTCTTCCCATTCAGTAGATTCATTTAAGATGAGTTAAAACTGGCAAGGAGATACAATCTGAAGTCACAAAAGAAGGTTACTTTTAGTTTTGTTTTTCTTCCTACTATAGAGTGATAGCTCAGCCATTAGGAATATCCAGACCATTTGACCTCTTCCCTTCAGTAAGAATCAAACTGCCCATTTAAATGGGAAGGCCACAACTCATTTGAGGACATGACCTGGACAGAAAAAAATTATATTACTATCCACATTTCTTTTTCAAAAAACACAGTTTAAAATTTATTAAATGTACTTTAATATTTCTGCAGTTCTCTTGCAGCCACAAAAACTGTTTTCATGTTCCTTTCTCCTCCTTGTGTAAAGTTTTCCCTTGGTAATCCAGTTCTCCAGGACACATTCATGAGAACCTGAGCTTGCTACTCCACATTCACATATTTACGCCCACAACACTCTGGGTTTTTTTTCTTGTTCACTGACTGCAAACAGTTTTTATGATTTTATAGGACATAAACACTTAATCTTTCTCACTTTCAAACTGCTTCAAGTTTGTGATCAGCAGAGTATTCACTGTGTAAATCCTTGTTCTCATGAAGTTATCATTCTCTTTGTTTCATAGAAAAATAATCATTTCACAGTCAGTAAAATCCTAAGCAGGGCTGACAAAGTCATGGTTGTTTGATGACTACAACACAGGCACCAGCTCTTCCAATATTTAAGGATGCCATCTGCGAAAAAATAGATAGAAATTAACTGAACAGGAACAATCCATGCAAAAGATTGCCAAACAGGAAAAAGCCATGCCAAAATTGCCAAAGTGTTGTGTCAACATTATTCTAAAATGCTCAAAACCACTGAAAATAAATACAAACCACATAACTCTAGTATTGCAGTTTTAAAAATTACTTACTCCTACCTGATATCTTTCATTTGACAAGTGAGAGAACAGAAGAAAGAGGAACTAATTTCAGAGTTGTCATTAATTTTGTGAACTGTTGTTATGCAAGGGATTTCCATATGTCTATATGTAGGTCTATATTTAAGCTTTTCAACAAAAGTTTCCCTTTTCAACTTTAAAAAGAAATAAGTATTTTTGAGTATAACGCATCTCACCTATTTTAAATGCTTATTTTAGGAAAAGATCATGTTTTCAAAGTATGCACTTTTCGTCACAAACTTTAAAGAGAATTTAGGGCAACTAACTTATATATAAACATCTACAATGGTGGAAAAAATTACTTTTCCGGCAAGTCTGCAACAGAATTAACAACGCGAAGTGTTGAAAATAATTTTTGTTTCTTTTTAAGTCTATGCAAAGAATTAAAATCCTTCCAAGCAATACTGTGACATAAATTATATTCCTTCTACTACCAAATCACGTCCCCAGCTTCTTGCATATACTACTATTTCTATTATACCTATTAATTATTTTATGGTTCAAAATTAAAGACATACATACAGTTCAACATTTCAAAATATCTGTCAAACATAAGAAAATGGAATAGAAGAATGAAATGAGAACTTGGCTCTCTCCATATTTTCATATGAAGGATCTTCAGGACAGGCTGGTTATCGATTAGAATTCTAGAATCATTTTGATACTCTTTATGATATTACTTCTGCATGAAGAAAGATGAAAAAATTAATTTAATATGGAAACAGATCAGAACAAGAACTTTGTCTGAAACAACATAATATATTATATAATATAAAATATTTATATAACATAATATTAAAAAATAGACTTTATAATTACCTGTGTCCACTCATTAGTTTGAGGGTCATATGCTTCCATAGTGTTCAGGTATGTCTGACCATCATAACCACCTACTGCATATAATTTATCACCAAGGAGACAGACACCAACAGCATCTCGAGGCATACTTAGTGGAGCCACCATTGTCCATGTATCAGTTTTTGGATCATACCTGAGAAAAGAGAAAGGAAACTGGATGTGCAGGGAGAATATAAGTGTCAATTCATGCTGATTCTTACTTGAATATAGTCCTTTTTTTCTTGGGGAGAAAAATATCCTTTAGTATGCTATCCAAAAATATTCTTCCTAACAGCAAAAAGATAAAGATTTATTGTGTTTCCAAATGTTGATTAAAAACTTTTGATCAGCTAATCTTCTCGAATAAACTAAAGTGTTTGTAGGATAGCGTGTCATAAAGAGAATTGAGAAAAATGTATGATCAATATCTGGATGTATGTATATTTTGCGTATTTATACATTTTAAGTAGTATATTTCTTGTACCATATTAAAAATATTATTTCTCAAATTAAATTTCACTATATTTTAATTTCTGAAATTATACTATACAATGTTCACAGAAAGAAAACCTCCCCAGATATTCAAGGGGTAAGCTTAACTGCATAAGAGTTACATTTTCATCCTGATATTTGCTCAAGTAAGGAAAGTAATACTGTTTTTAAGGCATAATCACCACTGAAGTTTTAAAACTGAGGGCAAAATTCCTTTTGTATAATGATGGTAATTTAAAAATTAAATATTTAACCTATCGGGCTGTATCAGAATGACAAAATGACTGAAGCAGAGACTCGTTCCTGAAGGAGAAGAGATTTAGTTAAAAAACATGCCTCAGATATTTACAGAAATATTTACAGAAAGCAAAACTTTCAGAGAGATATAAAATCACTAACCTTTGTTTTCCTAAGTTATTGAGACGTTTTTATTTTTTGAAAATGATGCATGATTTTCAAATGTCATTTGAAAATTTAACTAAAATTTAACTAAAGTTTAATGCCTTCAGAAAATAAATAAATAGATAAATCTCTCCCAGCACCTATCTTACTGTGCATTAAGACAAACCAACTACTCAAATGTATCTACTTTAACTTTCACAACCTGTACATATTTGGAGAGTGTATTTGCCTTATTCTATTTCATAGCATACAGACACAGAAAAAAGGCAAACCTTCATGAAACATTTGAAGAATACCTTTAAATGGAATGCTATAATTACTTCAACTGTGCTGAACTGCCCTACTAGATATTCTTGACTTTGTAGAATGCCTACTTGCAAAACTCAGGCTACTGCAAGTACAGTGTGTAAGGCTTGTATAAACTCATTAGAAAGTGGCAATGTTGCTAAAGGAAGCAATATGTTGCACTGTGAATATCCATCACTTAAGCAATTGTTTATTTCTTAGCTTAGCTATGTTTTTAGAGTTACAAAGTATTTCTAAACACAATTTTGTGTTATAAAATTATTTCAAGGAAAAAAATTTATCTCTACAAAATTTAGTTTATAACTCTGCAATTTGTAATATAGTGCCTTGAAAAAATAGATTACTTAAATGCTATGTGAAAAGAGTGGACTTTTGTGTTCAGGATAATATATAACAGTACTGTAAATAAAAAGGAAAGACAATAAATTTCAAAGAAACTGTCTTTTACAGACTTTTACATAATTTTTCAAACAAGTCTGTTTAACTTTACCATCACAAACCTAAGAAAACTATGCTACCAGACATAATTTTCTATTAAAAAAATGCATGTATGATTGGATACCTTTCTACATAGTCAAGTAGTCGAGAACAATGGTTAGAAGCAGGAGCATCGTGGCCTCCCACTGCATAAAGAAACCCATCACATGTAGCCACTCCTACACCTCCTCTTCTCTTACACATAGGAGCACACATATTCCATTTATTTGTGTGAGGATCATAATATTCCATTGAACTCAAACACGAACTTCCATCCCGGCCTCCAACTGAATATAACCTAAAAAAGTCCACACA